TCTTGAATTATTTGGGCATTCGCTTGACCCCCACCTATGGACTCCCTCTTTGCTGGCCAAAATTTATTATTCATTGATATAGCTCTCTTATCTTCTTCGTTATGCATTCTGGCCTATTTACGCACTTGTCTTTGGATTAGGGCGGGTTTTCATTCGGTGGTGAAAAAAGACCATTTTGCCGAAATGGTCTATATTATTTTCGCACCATCCCAGTGCGGGTTTCCCCCTCATTTTCTTCTGGATGATAGGTTTGATGCGTTTTATATGCGGGCTAATTAAGCACCCCGAATTCTCCAGTAAACACGCTACTTTGCTTCTTAGAATCCAGGCGTGGTATTGGTGGTGCTTAATGTAACTAAGTATTATCAGGCGGAGCCAGATTAGACCCACTGTCTATGTTGCACACTTCCTCTGATGTTCCTCTCTGGGTCCTGCAGGAACTACCCAATTGTGCCCCGTATCGCACCATCAACGCTTCTATGGCTTCCCCCTGCCCTGCAACCCTATGGCCCTGAGTCCGATGTTGATCCATGGCTTACAGGTCTGGGACTCGGTACGTATACTCCAGTGGCGCTGATGTCACCCTTCTGTCTTTGCTCCCAAAATTATTAACAACTCTCTGTTTCCCTCCGGGGTTTTAGATCACCCAAGGTATCGTTCTTCTTGGTGGTGGCTAATGGGTTTTTTGCAGGTGCGACAACTTTTGATTTTTCGGTCCTCCCCACCTGGAATTTTCTTCGAGAGTCCCGGGATGTTCCGCCGGCGGAATTTTTTTATTCCATACCTTCAATTGCGGCACAGGCTGCTCTCGCTGCTGGGCACTTCTGCTTTCCCATACCGCGGAAATCTGCCTTTGAACAGCTTATCTCCCTTCTTTTATGCAGCTCTGAACAGACGCTCGTTGCATGCTTCTTTTCATCATATGTTGTATTCAGTGGGAGCGTGACCTGGGAGTGGACTGTGGATCCGGGAGGACGGAAATAAGGGCCTGGTCACTCACGAGCTAAATGCTCAGTTAATACGACACGCTGGAGGCTGGCCTATAAGGTATTGTTTCCCTTGGTATTGGGTTCCGGCACGTTTGCCCAGGCTAACCCAGCATGTAGTAATGATCAATTGTTTTCGGGGTTGGATGGCCATCGTGGCGATGTATTGCATTATCTGGTGGTCATGCCCGAGACTGGTTATTTTGGTCTCGTGTGTTTGGTCTCCTTTCACTTTGTTCCATCTCTCCATACGCCAGGATGCTCGGTATATGCCCTGCTTCATTGCCCATACCGGCCCACTCTTGGTTCATCAGGCAGAAGTTGGCTTCCTATTTGTTTTTATCGGCCACTAGAACAAATTGCTCAGGCTGGAAGAGGCCTGGAAGAGTCCGTTTGTCCTTCTTCAGTCCCAAGGGGGGTGCGGGATCGTTTGACCACTATGATGCTCATACGAACAGATGTCGAGTATATGCAACGGCTTCCATTGTAAATTTTTGAAAATATGGGGAGCCGTGGCTGCAATACGCCTTTCCCCACGCTCCCCCCGGGTAGTATGGGGATGTAATGGCGTTTGGCATTGGCATTCGGTATTGGCGCTCTTGGACCCCCTGCTCTTTGTCTTTTTTTTTCCCTTTCTCTCTTTTTCTGTTTGTTTTTGTTTCGTTGTGACAGTGGACAGCTGTCTTTAGTTGTTATAGTTAGAGTTACATTAATGTTATTGTAACTTATGTGCCATTGATAGCCCCTGCGTGGGCGTACCTTTTGCCTTGTTAGAGTTAGAACACTGTTTTCTCTATTATGCCCTTTTTTTTTTATCGGTTTGCAATTGATAGCCCTGCGTGGGAGTTGTGTTTTGTTGCCTCTGTTTTTATACTGTTTAAAACTAAAATTTAATAAAAACCATTGAAATATAAAGAATCATCAACTGAAAGAGAGAGCTCTTGAAAGATACTGCACAAGTCTACTTAAAACTCCTGTTCAAACAAGAGGGAACCCCCAAAAGTCCACCGTGAACAGAGGGAATGAAATCTTAACTACAGACAATCAGGAAACCATCCCCCTGGGAGGAGGAAAAACCCACCTAATCAAACACTATTAGCAGCAGAGAACACCTGTATATCGAGTACCTGCTTTTACTAGATTCTAGCCTCTCCTATGGTTTGATCATTCACAAAGACAAGGGGAGGAACCCTGTTATGGGGATTTTCACAGAGAGAGAAACATGGGGAACCCTGGCAACAATAGATGGGGCTCATGGACAATCAAGGCAGGGGGAGACTCATGCAGAGAGAGGAGAGGGGAGGACATTAAATGGAATCATCCACGTGTCCCCCAATGGCCATCAAGGGGACAACCAAGAGACGATATACAGTAGTACTGCAGAGGAATGGCGTAAGAACTGTAAGGACAAGAGTATTAAGTCAGGAAATTTCAACTTGAGTATAATGTGGCGTTTACTGAGAATGAACTTAAAGTACTTGATTTGGGACCTAAATTTGCTCTGGATAAAGGGTTTAACAAAAATTTGGTAAATATATAGATACACAGAAGTTTGTAAGAAAATTAAAATACGAGAGTTTCTTCAAAAAGTCTCTGCACTTTTTTTTTATAGGTTTCACAGCCATCTTCACCACGGTCATGACAACTCTTATGTTAAATTACAAAGTCAGCTGGCTTGCCAGACAGACTAGTCACATGACACTCTCAGACACAACCAAATACTACTCCTCCCACCTTCACAGTTTCCAACGAAAATGTAAAAGTGGGGAAGAACCCTATTATGGCGATTTTCGCAAGAGAAAACATGTGGACTCCTGGCAACAACAGATGGAGCTCATGGAATCAAGGCAGGGGGAGACCCATGCAGAGAGAGAGAGGAGGGGAGGAAATTATTGAAATCATCCATGTGTCCCCCAGTGGCCATCAAGGGAACAACCAAGAAACGATATAAAGTCTGCAGAGGAGGGCGTAAGAACTGTAAGGAAAAGAGAGTATTAGGTCACGAAATTTCCAACTTGAGTAATTTGGAGTTTATTGAGAATTAACTTAAAGTACTTGATTTGGGACCTAAATTTGTTCCAGATAAAGGGTTTAACAAATTTGGTGCATATATAGATACACAGAAGTTTGTAAGAAATTTAAATACGAGGGTTCTTCGAAAAGTTTCCACACTTTATTTTTATAGGTTTCGCAGCCATCTTCACCACGGCATGACAACTCTTATGTTAAACTGCAAAGTCAGCCGGCTTGCCAGACAGACTAGTCACATGACACTCTCAGACACAACCCAATTACTGCTCCTCCCACCTTCACAGTTTCCATTGAAAATATAAAAGTGGGGAAACTTTATGAAGACCCCTAGTATTAGAAAACATGTTGCTGAAAAAAGCACACATAAAGGAATAGAGAAAGTCCTGAGTATACAATTAGTGGGCTCAGGAATCAATCAACGTTTAACCCTAAAAGTTCTTCTAATCAGTACCTGGAAGTTTTCAAGTCTATGATGGAACAAGATATCAGAATGTTAAAAGCATAGTCTAAACACAAAAAGGAAATATCCAAAAAGGTATTGAGGATTTGGAGAAGAGGAAAAACATAGTAATAACACCAACAAAGGGGGGATTGTGGTTTTACATAAAGCTGACTATGAGAAGGAATTAGACGCTACTACTATAAACAAAAACTCTCTTGTGGCGCTATGTATAAGTATAATGCAAAATTTAAAAGACTGAATCAAAAAGTACAGAGGAGGGTAATATTAAGTATGAAGAAGTGAGATACCTTATTCTTCAAGCACCTAGATTACCAGTGGTTTATCAACTACCTAAAGTGCATAAAAATAGAGAAAACCCTCAGTGGTATAGATTCACTCTTCTCACATTTAGGGGAGTACGTGGATTATTTTCTACAACCACTGTGTTAGAAACCCTCAGTACATGTTGGAAGGGAAAGGCTAGCACATGCTCATACTTATGCGCATGTTAATAATTCTGAGCAAAAGCCCAGAACAAAACGTATTACCTCCCCTGAGTAGTACAGTGTTATAAATAGTAAAAAAAATAATAAATATTATTAAATAATAATTAATATTATTAATTATAAATAGTAAAAAAAAACAACAGTGTAATAAAAAAAAGAAAAAACATATTTGACAAAATGTATTTTTTTTTTTTACATACTGTCACCAGTCAGTGTCCCTAATCACTGTCATGCCAGCTATATGATGACACTAAACTGTATGTAAAAAAAATGGGAAAACATTTTTTTAATTTCTTCTTTTTCCAAACAGTTGGGACAAAAAATTACAACTTCAAAAAACTTGCCATGCCTCTTACTAAATACCTTGGACTGTCTACTTTTCAAAAAGGGGTTATTATAGGGATAGTTGTACTGTCCTTGCATTTTTGGGCCCTCAAGAAATGAGAAAGGCCGTCAGTACTTCAGGATTCATCGATTTTCAGATATATGAGGGCACTTTTTTAACACTATTATATTGTAAAAGTGCAGAAACTTTTTGAAGACCCCTTGTATATACCATAGATTATAGACACTATAAATTTCACACAAACTAAGTGATATACTTATATTGGGTTATTTTTTACCAAACAAAGTGAGCAGTATACATTTTGGCTTACATTTATGAAGAAAGATTATTTGCTTGCAAAATTTCATAACAGAAATGAAAAAATTAGGGTTTTTTTTTTCAAAATTTTCTGTCTTTTTTTGTTTATTTAACAAAAGAATTAAAAAAACAGTGGTGATTAAATACCAGCAAAAGAAAGCTCCTTTTGTGTGAAAAAAAAATGTCATATGGGTACAGTGTTGCATAACCGTGCAAATGATATTTGAAATGCATTCAAAGTGTGACAGCACGGAAAGCTGAAAATTGGCCTGGGCAGGAAAGTGGTTAAAGCGGAGTTCCACCCAAAAGGGGAAGTTCCGCTTTAAGTCTTTGTCCCCCGCTCCCCATTAAGGATTGGCACCTTTGGGGAGTGGGTGCCCGAATTTGACAGGTACCCGCTCCCACTTCTGCTGTGATCGCCTAGTCAATCAAAAGCGGAAGTTGTCCCCCCCTCCCTCCCTGTAGTCTTCTGGGACATGTGACAGGTCCTAGAAGACTATGGGGTCGTTCACAAAGCTCAGCGCTTTTCACACATGCGCAGTGGGCACCCAGCTGTGAAGCCACAAGCTGTCACAGTCGGGTGCCCACGCAGAAGATGCTGGCACCAGGGAGAGAAGACGGACGGTGAAACCAGCCATGGGGAGGACACTGCTGGACCAAGGGATGGGTAAGTGGCTGTATTTTAAAAGTCTGCAGCTACAGTTTTTGTAGCTGCTGACTTTTATTTTTTTTCTTCAGCTGGAACTCTGCTTTAAGGACACTGATCACAACTGCTATATTCCTATGGCTAGCTGCCACCACCCCAAGTGGTTGGGGATTCCAAAAGGACAACTTATGCATATGAGATACAACTATGGTAATATAATCAATTTTCACAAACAATCAGACTATTGAAAGATAGAGAAAAAGGATATGAAAAACATGTTTGTGATCTGTGAAAACATGTTTGTGATCTATGAAAATCAAGTTCAGCTAATGGACAGAAATGTGTCACTAGAGGATAATAAAAATGTCACTAGAAGGGAAATAATTTGATGTAGCCTTTGTAACTGAATTAAATCAAGATTTTAAGTGATTAGAAGGTATCATTAATAAACAGTGGACTATTTGGTGGAGGAACAAAACAATTGGTAGTCTAGTCCCAAAAAGACCAAAATATATTTATCGTAGAGCTCCCAGCCAGAGAAATATGCTAGCCTGCAACATACCTGATCCATATAAGAAATTAGTTACATTTTCAGATCAAACTAGATTTTCTTGTTGTGGAAGGTGCATATCATGTAAAACGGTAAAGAACAGAAAGAGAAAAACTACTTCCTATAGGTCTAATAACACTAATAGGAAATGTAAAATTGATAAATTCATTACTTGTCAGAGGACCCATGTAACCTACCTCCCGAGTCGTCCTTTGGAAATTAGGTGTTAGTATAAGTGAACACATAAATAACATCAAAAAAGGTTTTCCCAAAAACATAGCGTGTTCAATTACTTTAGGCTTCACTACAGTAGGGATCCTGGTTTACTAACCTTTTGTAGTATTGACAAGATTGAAAGACATTGGAGGGGCAGTAACATGAAAACACGCTATAACTATGGATGAAACAAGGTGGATTTTAAAGCTTAATACATTGAGTCCAGCTGGCCTAAATCTAGATTTTGATCTGAATTGTTTTATATCCAACTATTAGCTCCATTTGATTTTAATTTATTCTGTGATCTGAGTGATTTTTAGATGAATACTTTTTGCTAGGGAGTTTGTTAGGATTTTACTTATTTTCCATTTTGCACTGGATCTGTCTAATTATCACCACAAGATGTCCCCTTCTGCTTCTCAGTTTAGTAGATGAATGGTGTTTTTTTGACTTGTTTGGCCACTAGATGTCTTTTTGCATGCTCTCCTTTTTTTTTTTTCCTAAATTCACTATGATAGTGCTGTTTTAACTTAAACGGCACAAGCTCAGATGCAACTGGAACTATTTTATTGAACAGGAACACTATACTTTAGAAATAGGGGCAGTCCCCACATGAAGAATGAAAGAAATATTACACTTTGGGATAAACATCCCACACTGATTAGTAAGAGCGTGATCACATTATCCTAACCAATGCAAACAGTAAACAGTATAGTCAACAGCAGGGGCGGACTGACAACTCATGGGGCCCCCGGGCAATAGGGGATCATGGGGCCCCTGTGTCCTTGCCCAAACTGAAAAAAGCCTATGAAAAAGGTACCAGGGGCATTTCATGGGGCCCCCTACTGACCCCCCGGGCCCTCGGGCAGTTCCTGAGTTTCCAAATGGTCAGTCCGCCCCTGGTCAACAGCTAACGGTGATCTAATTAATCCAGTTAATCAATAGCCAGGCACCCAATGTTTTGATTAATCGGGAGCTCACCCCAAGCCCAATTCTGAATACACGTACATTAAGGGTTTGATTACATATTACACATGCTATCAGGTGTTTGCTTTCACTTGTATAATCTGTTAATCATAAGACAAAACTCATACAAAATTGCAACAGTTTGAAAAATTAATTTATCGTAATAGATTTCCGCAGGGGGGCCCCATATTTCCTCTGACCATTAACCTGTATAAGATTAATATTACACCTTTCCATCCACTCCACAGGGCAAATGTTATTGTTTTTATGCAAAGAATTAATCCACGCCTCGCTCTCAGTGTTCATCAGGTTATTATCCATCACTAGAAACTGATCAGCTCTCTCCATGTGATCAGAGGCTGAACCAAGCTCTTTTTCATGCTCTGACCGGGAGAAGCAGACAAAATCTCCTCCATGGGCCATGATCATTGGGTAGGAGGCTAGCACCTAGTCCCCTCCAAAAGTCTCTGTCCCGCTTGGGTTTGTCAAAAAACGTTTATAAACATAATAAGTTTTGTATGTAGGATGGTTTTAAATTCAATTGGATTGGGTGGTGAAATATGGCGGGAGTTCAGTGTATAAATAGGCGGAGATGTGTCCGGATGTGTGACCCCTGACGTCATCAGACGCTGCTGACGAAACACGCTGGGTGGGACTTCCGGGACATGTCACTTCTGCCTTTTGGAACACAGGTGGAGCTTAAACCAGAGCTTTCAGTTTCTATTTCAATGCCTGAGTGTTTTTATCTTATATATGTGCATTTTTATTCTTTTGATCCATTAAATTTAAACATACTACACTATGAAAGGCTCCTTTATCTTTTCTCCATGTGAATGAGATACATGCAGAGTCTCTTTAAGGCACGGGAGGGCTACTAAGGGTGTAGTAGTATCCACTTATCCACATGTAAAGGGTGTCATGCCAGATGGAGTAGAGAGCTGATTGAAACTCAATGGCCGTGTGTGAGAGATTGCCAGTTGGGGATACAAAAAGCTCTTTGTGGGTCAAAAATCTCCAGTGAGTGTGGTGTGCATCTCTCTGGTGAAGAGGAAGAGCACAATTTCCTTTGGTGTCACATTTTCATCACTTCTGGTATATATTTGCACTGAGCACAGCATTTAGACTGTTATGCTTTTTTCTTGTTGGTTGGTTCAGGAGTGTCAAACTCAATTTCATGGTGGGCCGCATCAGCATTATGGTTGCCCTCAAAAGGGCCAGTTGTACCTGTAAGACTAGATGTCCAGGACACCCCCACCCTCCCCAACACAGTACATTCCCCTTACCTGCTGGGAAGAAGTAGGAGGAGGAGCTGGGAAGCAAGAGGTGCAGGGTCTGGAGGAGGACCAGAGGGCTGGAGTCTGCTGAATGCCTAGACCATGGGAGTTAGAGACGAGGGGGTGCTGCGGCTGCACAGAGAAGCGCAGAATCAGTAGGAGGCGTTCTATCCTCCTCTCTGCTGTCCACTTCTGGGACCAGGGGTGGGGAGTTGCAGAGACGAGTCTCTCACGGGTGCATGGAGAAGTGCAGGATTTGGCGGAGGAGTTCAGTCCTCCTCCCTTCTGCAAACTACTGAGATATGATGGAGATGAGGGGGGTGCCACAGCTACATGGGAGGTCTAAGGGCCACATTAAATGGCCTGGAGGGCCGCATTTGGCCCTCGGGACTTGTGTTTGACACCTGTGGACTAGAGTCTTTTTTTCAACCTTCCTAACTATGTAACAAGATGAGGGTTTACATACACTTTAAATAATCCCAGGAAGTCTGCATAGGTGTTGAACTGGTAGTAAACTTGTTTCTGCTACTTTAACTACAGGTGAGCTAATAAAGCTTACCTGTGGTAAAATAAATATCTCCTAAATGTGCCCCATTTAAAAGATGTTCCAATGAGCAGAAGCTGGTGATGTCACCAGCACATGTGCTCTGAAGGGATAGCATACTTATGCCGATCCTTCAGAGCTTTGTACCGCGGCTCTGACCCCTGTGCTCATGTGCGGAAGTGACGTCATTGTGGTTCAGTCATTCAAATAGCCAGAGTCCATGAACCCGGAAGGAAGACCAGGTGAAGATGGAGGCACTATCAGTGGTGATAGAGTGCTGCGGGGCGGCTTCGATTTAAGCACATACTAACACATGATGACATTACCTTGCAGGGGGCCAGGAAAACTTTTTTATTTTCTGAATTTACTACCTCTTTAAACCTTCAATGTACATGGCTAAAGGTGTGAATTGTTGTCAAGATGCCAGGATAGTGATTTTAAAATGGCAAATGTGGGAGACAGATGGTGTCAAAGGCCTCCTATTTAAAGCGGAGTTCTAGCCTTATTTTTTTTTTCCCCTGAAAGACAATGACCTCCCTCTTCACAGTCTGTTTTGTATATATATATATAAATATATATATATATATATATATATATATATTTATTTATTTTTTATTTTTTTTTCCTAAACACTTTTTATTGATCATGCCTGTCTCAGCTTCCGGTCCCAGCTGCCTAGGAGATTTAATCGTCAGGCAGTCCCTAGGGCCTTTGGGATATCGGCGTCATCTATCCCAGCAGTCCTACGGAATTCACGTTTGTCTTTAAACGTGGACATCTCAGGAGTACTTTGAAAGTTTTTGAGGGACTTTAACACCATCTGTGTCCCACATACTATATAAGCCTAGGTTCATACTAGCATGTGGTGTCCGAACCTGCGTTCCATGTGCGCTTCCCACACCGCATTCAAATCGCACTGCCCTTGAGTTCTGCAGTGGGTGTCAGTGCAACCTTAACAACACCCAAAATGAAGGTCACAAATGCAGTGCATTTCCCTGTAGTGAATCGCATGGTGCAACACGACCCTGTGATCCCACTGCAGTGTGGTTCCAAAATTACTGCATGCACAGCTTTGGTGCGATATGGTGTGTTCTGAGCCCATTCAAAATGGATGGGCTCAAATCGCACAACACTGAATTGCATGTCAATTGCAAATGAATGCAGTACGATTCCTGTGCGATTCATATGTAGTTCATAGTCTGAACCTAGGCGAATGCAATTTTAACAACCCAGGTGCTCTTACTACAGTTTCAGCCGTATAATTCAAAAGTTTAACACCTATGCAGACTTCCTGACACCAAGGATGGGATTATGAAACTATCACAGAGGGATCCACAACTGTTACAACTCCCGTCTTGTCCTTGAACAAACAACATTTGCTTGGATTAATGTGTCTGTGTTACCCGTGTGGATAAATGCTGGGGTATTTTCCGACACTAATTAGAACTGAAAAAGTAGTTTGGATGAGCTACAAGACGTCCATTTGAATGTGAATAATTACCAATAGCTATATTATAAACTGAACAAATGAGAACTTTCACAGACATCCATCAGCAGTTTGCTTGAGTTGGTGTAAACCTTCCTGATTTTTACATAAGTCCTGGCATGCTGCACACCCGAGTTATGCACAGAGGGGTGCTATGACCCTGTGAACAGAAGTGACTCTGAAAACCCTCATACTCTCTGTAATGATAACACGCAGTAGTACAGCCAGTTGTTTTCACATTTATTCATCGAAACAGACTTTAACCCCTTCTGCGCTGCCCTATAGCAGTAATACTGCTACAGGGCAGCACGGGTGTGCAAAATCACGTATATATATGTGATTTTGAAGTTCCAGGTAGGGGGCAAAATTTGCGGCCTCAGCTGTCAATCACCTGATCCCCGCCAATGATTCCCCGCCAGCACTTGATGATCTCTGACTATTACCTGTATGTAAACAATACATACTGTATCTCTCCCCTGTCAGCTTCTGCACACTGCTTTGTATGGCTCTGCATAGCAGAGCCATACAAAGCAGTGTGCTTACAGTTAAACACACACACAGCACACATAGTAAAACAGCACACAGTTAACCCTTTGATCACCCCGCATCTTAAACCCTTCCTGCCCAGTGTCATTAGTACAGTGTCAGTGCCAGGGGCGGACTGACAACTCATTGGGCGCGCCCGGGCAATAGGGGACCATGGGGCCCCTGTGTCCTTGCCAAAACTCAAAAAAAGCCTATGAAAAAGGTACCAGGGGCATCTCATGGGGCCCCCTACTGACCCGGTGCCCGAGTTTCCAAATGGTCAGTCCGCCCCTGGTCAGTGCTTTTTTTTTAGCACTGATCACTGTATTGGTGTCACTGGGGAAGTCAGTTCCCCCCCCAGTGTCAGAATGCCCGCCGCAGTTCTGTTATAAGTCGCTGATCGCCGCCATTACTAGTAAAAAAAAGGAAAAAATTCCAGTATATATACCGTATATCGCCATTTGTAAACGCTATAGCTTTCACGTAAACCAATTAATCTACATGTATTGGAATTTTTTTTTTAGCAAAGACATCTTGCAGAATACATTTTGGCATAAATTTATGATGAAATTTGATTTATTAATTTTTGTTACTAGATGTGCTTAATGGCAAAAAGTCTAAAATATATGTTTTTTTTCAAAATTGTTGGTCTTTTTTTTGTTTATAGCGCAAAAGAAAAAAAATGCACAGGCAATCAAATACCACTGAAAGAAAGCTCAATTTGTGGGAAAAAAGGATGCAGCGTTGCATGACTGCACAATTGTCAGTTAAAGCAACGCAGCGCTGTATCGCAAAAAATGGCTGGTCAGGAAGGGGGGGGGGGGGAAATCCTCTAGAGGGCAAGTGGTTAACCGCTACAGGACCAGCTGCCCATGGGCACAGCGACAAACCTGTATGTCGCTGGCCTCTTGTGGGTTTAGGGCACGCACATGCCCCCGCCTGCTGACTCCTACTGTGATTGAACACAGTGGGAGTTTGTCAACAGGTCCCAGACAATGATTCATTGGCTGGGACCCGCTGATTGGCTGTGCCCAATCACAGCCCAGAGCCCTGTGCTGACAAACAACACAGGGCTCTGTGCAAAAGGAACAATCTGTAGGACGATCTACAGAAGGAGCAAACAGATCTTTAGCACAAACCAGCACATATTACACACATTACATTGTTAGACACACGTAACCCCTTGATTGTGCCTAGATGTTAACCCCTTCTCAGCCAGTGTCAGTGTATAGTATTGCACCTGAAATCGTCATGCCATTCAACTTTGAAATCGTGAGACTTCACTGTAAGTCACACGACTTTAGAGTTGGGTTTGGTGGGACCGGGTGCATTACACCCAAGTCACACCAAACCCGACTTTAAAGATCAGCTGTGCCCAATCACAGCCCAGAGCCTGCATTGACAAACAACACAGGGCTCTGTGCAAAAGGAACAATCTGTAGGACGATCTACAGAAGGAGCAAACAGATCTTTAGCACAAACCAGCACATAATATTACACACATTACATTGTTAGACACGCTTGTTGCCCCTAGATGTTAACCCCTTCTCAGCCAGTGTCAGTGTATAGTATTGCACCTGAAATCGTCATGCCATCCAACTTTGAAATCGTGAGACTTCACTGTAAGTCGCACGACTTTAAAGTTGGGTTTGGTGGGACCGGGGTGCATTACACCCAAGTCACACCAAACCCGACTTTAAAGATCAGCTGTGCCCAATCACAGCCCAGAGCCCTGTGCTGACAAACAACACAGGGCTCTGTACAAAAGGAACAATCTGTAGGATGATCTACAGAAGGAACAAACAGATCTTTAGTACAAACCAGCACATATTACACACATTACATTGTTAGACACACACGTAACCCCTTGATTGCCCCTAGATGTTAACCCCTTCCCAGCCAACGTCAGTGTACCTGAAATCAGCATGCCATTCGACTTTGAAATCGTGCGACTTCACTGTAAGTCGCATGACTTTAAAGTCAGGTTTGGTGTGACCGGGTGTGCATTACACAGATGTCTATGCAAATTGCACCAAAAGTAGAGCATGCACTAATTTAGAAATCGGTGCGGCTCCCACCAAGTCAGAACCGCACCGATATGACCGCTCTAATTGTGGCCAATAGGGTACGACTTGGCATGCGATTTGCAAGTCACAAGGCTTACAAATCGCATGTCAATTCACATCCAGTGTGACTGGGGACTTAGTGTCACTGGTGATTTCAGTGTCAGTCAGTTCCCACTCAGTGTCAGTATTAGATTGCTCTGTACATTATTGCAGTCCCATCATAAGCTGACGATCACCACCATTACTAGTATAAAAAAAAAAAAAAGAAAATCAAAATCCAGTATATATACCATTGTTTGTAGACACTATAGCTTTCACACAAACCAATCAATATACACTTAGTGGGATTCTTTTTCACCATAGTCCGTAGTTTCTAGTCTATCTTCGGAGTGAGTGGTGGGTGGCTACATTTCTACATACAGCGGGACAGTGGAGAACGAACGTAGTCACCCTCTAACACAGGAAATCAGATCACAGCAGCAAAAAAAAAAAAAAGTAATTTGGACATTTGGAGGAGTCTGAGAGCAGTAGGGAAGCAAGGTACTTTTCTGAGCGTACGTTTGTTTTTTTGTTTTTTTTTACCAGAGTTAAGTGTGACTTTACTTATCAACAGGCAAGCGAGAAATCAGACGAATACATTTTATTATATAGCATTTTAGAAAAATCAAGCTATATTGGTCATCTGCCAAGCCCCTTTTGCAGGTAACTAAATAATATTTTTGTTAGCTAAACAGAAAAAAAGAGGTACATACCTGATGTATATGCTCCATGGATGATGTCAATGTGCAGAAGTAATATAAATTGTAAAACAACGAAGAACAAAAAAGCTGTTTTCATCTTGCTGCCGGTAATGCTCAGATACTCAAAGATATAGCAAAGTAAAGTAATGAAAATGTAACCACTAAGGATACAATGTCATTATCATGAAATACAGCAGACTGGATGGTACTTGATTGGACGTTTTTTTCTGCCTGTCCCAATCAAAATGTTTGTATCCTTTGTCACTTGTTACTAGGGAGAGTTCCTCTGTAGCTGTGCTGGTTTCTTTTTCCTGCTGATTGAAAACAATAAAACATGGAAAATAATAACTGCGTTCTCAGGTTTACATGACTCTAGTGATATAGTTAAAGCTGTAGATAGTAAAAGAAAAAAAAAGGGTCTCCCCTGCAGGTTTTAAAGCAATTCTAATGCTGGGTTCACACTGATGTGGTGAGGAATTTGCAGCGTTTTCACTGCGAATTCCGCACCGCATGAGAATCGCACCCCGTTCATGCAAACCACTGCGGGTGTGTATGTTAAGTTAACAACACCCTGAAACTGGTCCGTAAAACGCGGTGCGACGTGCAGAATTGGATCGCATAGGTGCGAATACCCATGCGATCCGATTCTACTACGGACCCAAAGAAGGGTCCTGCACCTTCTTGGTGCGGATGCGGTGCAATTGGAGCCATACATAATGTATGGCTCCAATCGCACCGCACACAAATTGCATGTGATTTTCACAGGAATGCAGTGTGGTTTGTGTGTGAATCACATGCGATGTACTGCACCGCATTAGTGTGAACCTAGCCTAAAGGTTAATTTTTTCTTTTTTTTTTTTGGAAAATAACAAACATGCTATGCTCTGTCCAGGTGCTGTCCTGAAAGATCTTAGAAATACGGTTGATGGTAAGTCTAACTAAGGTTTTTGTTTCTATGATTGGCAAAATGGCGCTGTATGTGGTTGGTAAGATGGCACTGAGTGTCTGATAATAAACAATACACTACTGCTGGTAACTTGGTAAGAATACAAAAGAGACTAGGAAATGATTCTACTTCCTGCTTTATGCTTTAGTAAGATCTAGCTGGATGTGGTTGGAAAGATGGCGCCGATGGCCGGGCAACACACAAACCCATTAGTCCGGTATACAGAGGCATGGTGACTCTTTTGTTCCCCTTGAGAAAGTCATGTGACGGCAATGAAAAACATTAGGGTAGGGCTTATGATGTAATCATGCTGGACCAGAAATGATGCTGTTCGTATAGCCTGAGAAATATGATATTGGCTTGTGAGGCTGTGTAGCTCCTTAAAGCGGAGCTCCACCCAAAAGGGGGAAGTTCCGCTTTAAAGACTGGTCCCCTGCTCCCCATTAAGGATTGGCACCTTTGGGGAGCGGGTATCCAAAATTGACTGGTACCCACTCCCATTTCCGCTGTGATCGCCTAGGCGATCGGAAGCGGAGGTTGTCCTCCTACCCTCCCTCCCCGTAGTCTTCTGGGACACGTGACAGGTTCCAGAAGACAACAGGGCCATTCAGGAAGCGCAGTGCTACTCACGCATGCGCAGTGGGCACCTGGCTGTGAAGCCGCAAGCTGTCACAGCCAGATGCCCACACTGAAGATATTGGCACCTGGATCACAGGACAGCAGGCGAAACGGGCTGCGGGGATGACACCATGGGATCATGGGACAGGTAAGTGGCTGTTTTTTAAAAGTCAGCAGCTACAGTTTTTGTAGCTGCTGACTTTTATTTTTTTACAGTGTGAGGGGAACTCTGCTTTAAGGAGCCAGTACACCCATATACAGTTGCAAGAAAAAGTATGTGAACCCCTTGGGATTACGTGGAGTTTTGCATGAATTAGGCATAAAATGTGCTCTGAAAGTCATCTAAGTCACAACAATAGAAGAACACAGTCTGCTGAACATAATACTACACAAACATTAGATGTTGCCATGGTTTAATTTCACATAACATGTAAACATTCACAGTGCAGGGAGGAAAAAGTATGTGAGGCCCTAGCTTAATGACTTCTCCCAGAGCTAATTGGAGCCAGGAGTGAGCCAACCTTGACTCCAATCAGTGTGATGATATTGGATGTGTTGCTGACAGCTGTCCTGCCCTTAAAAAACACACCCCTGTTTTGGGTTTACTGGTTCCAAGAAACACTGTCTGATGTGAACCATGCCTCGCAGAAAAGAGCTCTCAGAAGACCTACGATCAAGAATTGTTGACTTGCATGAAGCTGGAAAGGATTACAAAAGTATCTCCAAAAGCCTTGATGTTCATGTGTCCACGGTAAGACAGACTGTCTACAAATGGAGAAAGTTTAGCACTGTTGCTACTCTCCCTAGGCGTGGTCGTCCTGTAAAAATGACTGGAAGAGCACAGCGCAGAATGCTGCATGAGGTAATGAAGAATCCCAGAGTGTCAGCTAAAGACCTACAGAAATCTCTGGCACATGCTCACATTTTTGTTGACACATCTACAATAAGGAAAACATTAAACAAGAATGGAGTACATGGGAGGACACCACGGAGGAAGCCATTGCTGTCCAAAAAGAATATTGCAGCACGTTTGAAGTTTGCAAAAGAGCACCTGGATGTTCCACAGCACTACTGGCAAAATATACTGTGGACAGATGAAACCAAGATTGAGTTGTTTGGGAAGAACACACAACGCTATGTGTGGAGAAAAAAAGGCACAGCACACCAACATCAAAACCTCATCCCCACTGTAAAACATGGCGGAGGGAGCATCATGGTTTGGGGCTGCTTTGCTGCCTCAGGGCCTGGACGGATTGTTGTCATTGATGGGAAAATGAATTCCAGAGTTTATCAAGACATTTTGCAGGAAAATGTACGACCATCTGTCCTGCCAACTGAAGCTCCGCAGAGGATGGGTGATGCAACAGGACAATGACCCAAAGCATACAAGTAATTCAACAAAACAATGGCTGCAACAGCACAGAATACGCCTTCTGGAGTGGCCCAGTCAGAGTCCTGACCTCAACCCGATTGAAATGCTGTGGCATGACCTTAAGAGAGCGATTCACACCAGACATCTCAAGAATATTGCTACACTGAAACAGTTTTGTGAAGAGGAGTGGTCCAAAATGACTCCAGATCGTTGTGCAGGTCTGATCTGCAACTACAGGAAACGTTTGGTTGAGGTTATTGCTGCCAAAGGAGGGTCAACCAGTTATTAAGTCCAAAGGTTCACATACTTTTTCCTCCCTGCACTGTGAATGTTTACATGTTATGTGCAATTAAACCATGGCAACATCTAATGTTTGTGTAGTATTATGTTCAGCAGACTGTGTTCTTCTATTGTTGTGACTTAGATGACGTTCAGAGCACATTTTATGCCCAATTCATGCAAAACTCCACGTAATCCCAAGGGGTTCACATACTTTTTCTTGCAACTGTATGTGCACAACATATATCGTTGCGCACAGATTGGAGTGCACTTTTTAATGTGAGTGGTTTTCTTAGCTGTTAATAAGTGTGAATGGTTTTTTAAAAAGTAAAACACGATGATGGCCTTTCTTGATTTTCTGGGAGTTTAAGTTTTATTGAAGAACTACATCCTGGTGGTCCAAAAAAATAGCTTAGTGAATGAGGAGAAAAAAAACCTGAAGGAGAGAATAAGACCCCCCGGAAGTGGGGAAAACACTCTTAGACCTATCTTATCATATAAGATCACTTACCTGGGGTGAGCGAATTGTGTGACTCGTGTGGGTCAACACATGGTGATTTGCTGCACAAGACCATAAGGATCACAGGCACAGAAGGAACTGTTTAGAGATTGGTTTAAATTATTGTTTCAATCCACATTAAAGTAGAATCACATAAGAGGTTCCCATTGTCACTTTTTATGTGTATTTTTATAATCTCTTAATTCTATGCTGAGGAGGTGTTCATATTTCCACATTATTACCATTTGGTAGTATATTGCATAAGTTATCACTGTAGGCTATTTTTTATAGTTATATTATATATAGCTAATCAAACTTTATTAAAGTTTTGAGAAAATACAACTTCCAAAAGACAAACAAAACAATAAAAATACAATATAAAGCTTATATCAGGCACATACAATGTACAGCAGGTCACAGAAATTCAGTGACAGCACCAATATAAACAAACAGGGCCCAGGTGCATTCTGAGTATTGAGCAACAGGTTGGAACCTATTCACACCCCAAAACATAGACTATATCGGGTGTATGTGGTTCCAAAGGTTCAAGCAAAAATACAATAAAATCTGAAACATTGCCAACACACCTGGATAGACCTTAGAAGTATGCAATTGGTGAAATACACTACTGTACAAATGGCTGAGCAAAAGGAACATCCTGAGAAAAAAAAAGCTATCTAGTTATCACCAGGTAGATAAATTGGGGGGTCAAGCAATGGCATCATACATGCTGCTATACCTCATATATAGAGAAAAAATTAATCATCTGATATCTCAGCAGAGTAGTAAATCCAGCTCAACCACACATCTTTAAATTTCTCCTGTTGTTTCTGATCATGTGTACCCAAAGTTCCTCATCCATGACAGTATCTACTTCCCTCTTCCAATCTAGGAGTGTGGGGGCAAGTTGTCTGTTTTCAGAATCTAGGGATTAAACAATTTGGCTGCATTTAGCAGATGGGGAGTAATCTTTTATATAATTTTGTGGAGGAAAGGAATCCATGAAAAAGAAAATTGCAAGAAAGAACTCTCTATTGGTCTATGAGTCGTTTTTTTAATCCAGGGTGTGATGGCCTCCCAGAAGACTCTAATCTTGGGGCAAGACCACCAAGGGTGGAAAAATGTGCCTTGTTGATTGCATCCCCCAAAAAGGGGCATCACTTGGTGGCTGAGTTGCTGTTGTTCCCAGTTGCTTCCACTTTGTTATAATCCCACTAACAGTTGAGCATGGAATATTTAGTAGCCAGGAAATGTCACGGATGGACTTTATTGCACAGGTGACAACCTATCACGGGACCACGCTTGGAGTCACTGAGCTCCTGAGAGAGCGACCCATTCTTTCACAAATGTTTGTAGCAGCAGTCTGCATGCCTAGATGATGATTTTATACACCTGTGGCCATGGGGTGGATTGGAGCACCTGGAACCAATGATTTTGAGGGCTGGCACAATTATTTTGGCAATATATATATATATATATGTTTGTTTATGTGTATTTTATGTTTACTGTTTGCAATAATTTTTAATAAAGAAAAATTGGGAATAATGTTACTTACATTTATGTTTATTGGGCAGAATACTCCTTAAATTGGTAGTCAATGGGAGTAAGAATGCCCTATTACAGACACCGGAAATGATCATTGGTGTCAGTGATAGTTTATATAATAATCAGCACTTCCGCCTGGAAGTACTAGTGTCATTGGTTCGAAGCCCAACCACGGTGCCACCTGCCTGGAGTTTGCATGTTCTCCCTGTGCCTGCGTGGGTTTCCTCTGGGTACTCCAGTTTCCTCCCACACTCCAAAGACATTTATTTATTTATTTCAGGTACTTATATAGCACTGTCAATTTACGTAGTGCTTTACACATATATATTGAACATTCACATCAGTCCCTAACCTCAAGGGGCGTACAATCTAAGGTCCCTAACTTACATTCATACATACACATATTAGGGCCAATTTAGACAGGATCCAATTAACCTACCAGCATGTCTTTGGAGTGTGGGAGGAAACCGGAGTACCCGGAGGAAACCCACGCAGGCACAGGGAGAACATGCAAACTCCAGGCAAGTGGTGAAGACATGCTGGTAGACAGGGACGGACTGACAACTCATGGGGCCCCCGGGCAATAGTACAAACGCCCTCCAAAAGTCCCCTTTTTGGAAAGTTGATACCCCAAGGCAGGGGCGGACTGACAACTCATGGGCCCCCCCCCTGTGTCCTTGCCCAAACTCAAAAAAGCCTATGAAAAAGTTACCAGGGGCATCTTATGGGGCCCCCTACTGACCCCAGGCCCTCGGGCAGTGCCCGAGTTTCCAAATGGTCAGTCCACCCCTGCTGGGTAGGTTAATTGGATCCTGTCTAAATTGGCCCTAATATGTGTATGTATGAATGTGAGTTAGGGACCTTAGATTGTACACCCCTTGAGGGTTAGGGACTGATGTGAATGTACAATATATATGTAAAGCGCTGTGTAAATTGATGGTGCTATATAAGTACCTGAAATAAATAAAATAATAAATAATCAGAAATTGCCCATTGCTCAAGGAACCCCTAGCAAGAATCCCTAGAGTTCCATAGAACACTGATTAAAAATATTACCTTACTTATGTCTGCGTCAATAACAGTGCAACTTACACCTCACTACAGAAGGATTCACATGTGAATAGCTGAAACCCTCTCTGATATGTACATGGAACAGAAACCATCTACCCAGCAACTATTACGTAATAAGCAACATAAATTCCTATTGGCTGAAAAACAGAACAAGTTCGTTTTATCACTTGGGTACAGTTTCTGTGGCTCAAACTTGTGAATTGCAGACACTGAGAATCCTGCTGAAGCTGTGTCTTTCGCTACAAGAGTAACAAAATGTCTGCAAGGAATATTGTGTACCTGGGATGCGTATTGATGATAGGTGTGCTCTGT